CACAACAAAACTGTAATTTAGATATAATTTGAAGCATATTAAGAGTTCATGTGTTGCATGATTTGTTTTCAAGTTAAGCAGAGGAATGCACAGACTTGTGAGATTACATTTTTGCCTTTTTACTCACACTCTAATCCCCAAAGCCTCAGAGAAATGACAGGCTCTTGAGTTTTGGATCCTCTCTGTCCATCTCCTCCTTTTGGTACTCATTAACTCCCCTTTGTATAGTGATTTCTTGCAGATCATTTAATCCTATACCCTCAAATATGTATTTATTTTTCTATTATTACTATTCTATTATTGCTTTTTTTACAAATCTTATTCTGAGTTTTCCTCTTTCTGTGTTTGTTCTATATGTTTTGCATGTACCCCTATTAGTTTCCATCAGTAATGTGTGCTCGCCTCTAAGTGCTTAACTTAATCTCCTAAATCTCGTCCCATGACCCTGCCCGTTCTTGTGTCACTGATATTGTGCAGTCTTTTCTCACGCACATTTGGTTAGCATACCTTTTCCTGACTTTCTCCCATTGGTATGAGATTAGAATTCAAAGCACATATTTATTGAGGTTTGTATTTTTAGATTTTATAACGATTTCCTGAAATAACCTGAAAGATATTAAGATTATTGGATATACAAGGCAAGCACAAACCTACTGAATGGGAATCTTCACAAACAGGGTATAATATTGGTGATCGGGCAGATATTGGTTGTTATTTTATGGGATGGTCTTCTTGTGTCTGAGGCCTATGTAATCCCAGCAGATTTGCATTAGTCCCTGTTGCCAGTCTGCAGTTTGACCTAGATTAGAGAAAGGCACACATGTGAGGACAATATACAGAAAACATTCCCACAGCGTACACTGTCGACATGTGAACGTGAGGCTCTCTTCTTTATCACATAGGTAAAAGTACCTTAAAAGATCCCTAGCAGATGTTATGTTTCTATTCATTCTAGTTTGTGTTTGCATGTGTTGCATAAGAAACCAATGGCCTTAAATGTGTTGTAACCAATGCAGACTGATTTCCAAAGTTAAAGCAATCCCTTGTACTGATTTATTTATTACATTTTTTTGGATAAAAACTGTTAAACATGACTTCATACTTTTTATCAAACCAAAACACAAACTTGGAAGAGAATGTAAACCAGAAGGCATTTTGACATCATTTCAAAGACTTTTGTACAACTTTGCACACTGAAAACTATTGTCTAGTAATTTTAGGTTTTACATTTGCTTTCAATGTTGGGGCCAGTGAAAGATATTGATACTGTGGTGCTTCTTTGAGCTTAACGTTCCCTCACCTCTTTTCTCTGTCTTTTTTGTGTCTGTATAAAAATGCAAAGAAATAAATGTTTTGAAGCAGCATTTACAAAAAATCAGTATTGTGGAATAATCTCACTGCAGTATCGCCTCAGGGAATCGCATTATACAAATGAATACAGACAATTAATTCTGAAAAACTTTAAGGACACAGTGAAACTAAAAGTTTAGTCAAATGTATTTTAGAATAGACATGATTCTTATCAAAGTCAATCAAAGTGTTGAAGTCTTGATTGACCCTTAACCCTTGTGTTATGTTCTCATTAGCACCCTTTGGTAATGTTCGGGTCAAATTGACCCAGGACATATTTCAGGGTTTAAAAAAAATACAGAACTGAATTCAACATGCACAATTCCTTATATATATTGTCTTTAACTCATTCCCCAACAACATAAATAAAATATGTGATTAGTTTTTGAAAATACTCTTTGCTAGATCAAATTTAACAATGGAAGTGTCCATCGTTTTTTGTGATTAAAATGTAATTTATGTTTAAAAAAAATACACCGTAATAAAAACTAGGTTTACATTTTGCTCATGCTTTTCTAGGATACATTTAAATGAAACATCATATAATAATCAAAGCCCTGAAGGAAATAAAGCAATTTAGCAGCAATTGGAACACAAGAACCACACTTCCAAAAGTATTTGGCTGTGAAATATATAGAGAGAATGAAACATTCATATAAATGACATAGAACAGATATAAACACAATGCAAATCAAAACAATTAACAGTCACTATTCATAAAATACAGTATATCCGAAAAATATATTGATGAAGTGACGCTGCAGAACATCATGTGAGTCAACTGCCAAGTCCGTTTAGGAAACACATGATGTACAGAACTTCTTTGTGTGTATAGCACAGATTTACTTGTTGCAGTTGCTACATGTAGTCTGTGTCTTGGAGTCTTTTGAGGGTCCACAGACCTCACAGCTGGCTGTGGGGGTCTTCTTGCGGTCTTCTTGCGGCTGGCTGTGGGGGTCATCCAGCAGCTGGCTCTGAGTCAAGTTCATCTTCCAATTTGCTGTCAAATTCTGAGTTTACCTCCACATTGTCCTCATTTTCAGAAATGTCTTCCTGTTCCACCTCACTCATTCTTCCAATGCATTCCACTCACTCTCATCCATTATTAGCTCCAAGGCTCTCTGAGCAGATTATCTTTTGGCCATTTTGTTGGTAGATAATTGTAGTTCTGCACTACACTGTTACTACACTGAGGTTATGTCTCTGTTCAGTCCCTCCTCCGGCGTGCAGGTGCGAGGGGGACAGTGCGAGAAAATGTAAAATGTTTATACATTTCTGGAAGATCTAAAATGTTTATAATGTTCTAGGACAGTTTTGTGTACACACTACAAAGGGTAAAGATCAAGGGAAAACAGGATCAAACTCTATGCATACAAGTGTGTGTGTGTGTGTGTGTGTGTGTGTGTGTGTGTGTGTGTGTGTGTGTGTGTGTGTGTGTGTGTGTGTGTGTGTGTGTGTGTGTGTGTGTCTTTAGTTTGTGTGTTTCTGTGTGTTTTTCTCTGTCTGTCTGTCCTGGTATTGTATCCGGGTCAGATTGGCCCGAACCTCTTATGAAGGACATAAATGCGGGTGGGCATTTTTTCATAAGTGGAAAAAACTAAAAACAATTCCACATGTCCTTCACAATAAATAAGCCCCGGCCATTGAGTTTCAGGTTGAACGAAAATATCCGTATATTTTTTTTTATTCATTGAAAATGGAAATCGGGTCAATTTGACCCGAACACCACACAAGGGTTGTGGTTTCTGTATCATTGGGGATAGTCATTTGACAGACTGTCCATGTGTAAAATGGGTGCAATAACAATTAGGATGTAATATGGGTGTAATATAGGTGACATATTCAAATCAAATCAAGTTTTATTTATAAAGCACATTTAAAAGCGATTTTTGGTCGAGCCAAAGTGCTGTACATGTAATAAAAACACATTACTACAATCACAATAAAAAACACAGGGAATAGTCAGGAGTCATGCTCCGCTCTGACTAGAAGGCCAGGGAGAAGAAGTGTGTCTTAAGTGTAGATTTAAAAAATCCCAGTGTCTCGGCCGACCTCACATGGAGGGGCAGTGTTCCAGAGCCTGGATATTGATATTGATGTTACATGGGTGTATTCTGGGTCTAATAATAGTGTCATATGGGTATAATTAAAGTGTTACATGGTTATAATATAGGTGAAATACGGTTGTAATAATAGTGCAACATGGGTGTAATACGAGTGTAATACCAATATAATTGGGGTGTAATGTAGAAAATAGCAATACATTTTCCGAAATATGTATGTGAATGCCCATTTAAGGATTAACTCGACCAAAGGCCATAGTTCATATCAATTAATCGCTTTGTCAACTTCAATTACATGCTTGATGACACAGCTGTAAAGTTAACCCAATTTAAGGATTAACCCTCAGGTCTTGAGCTGTCTTTTAAGGGAATTAGGAGTTAGATCAGGTGCTGGTTCAGGTCATATTGGTGAGAGATATACAGAGGATTTGTATTGTTAATCAGGTGTTTGAGGTTAGTTACTAACACTTGTGTCGCTATCTGTCAGGTTTATAAAAACACAGATACATGATGTGTTCGACTAATGCCGGTCTGACAAAATCGTCTGTGGCTCTGTACTCAGATAACACAACTGAATTCATCTCAAATTACCGCTGCAAAGCAAGCCTCATGAAGCGTGGGGCAATAATATTACAGGCCGTTAGCGTCATCTCATATTGACCTACAGTATGTGTTGCGTGATCTCGGAGCACTAATGAGGAATACCTCAGATTATCTTGGAGGAACTGAAATAAAAGATCTGTATTGAACCAGCAGAGATTGAATCCTTTAGAACACTTGCATTTCCATGGAAACAACCCACATCTGACCTTTGTCAGAAAGCACTTAGAAGCTATCAACACATCTGTCTCTGTGGTGTTTGTTTGTGTGAATCGCTCAGAGTGAGTCATCTGCTGAAGGCTACCTATTCAGATACAGCCTGCATATCATATATCAGGAAGCATAATATACAAAAGACATCAATACCCTATTAAAGGGGCCCTATAATGCTCATATTAATAATCTTATCGTTATGTTATACAACTAAAATGATATGACCACTGATAAACAGTAGGGCTGCAAGCAATGATTTTTTCTCATCATAGAATAATATGCCAATTATTTTATATGAACTAAGGAATATTTATAATTATTGTTTATTTTTTGAGAAGCATTCAATATCTTAAAATATAAGACTAAGAAATCTGAGGAGCTGGGATATTTTTTCCTTTTTTAAGTCACAGATAATAGGAAATATACTCAATCATTCATACCAAGGTAGCAGTAATATCTCTGACTCTTAGAGAAAGCGGTAATTGGTTGATGTTACAAATCAATGAGGTTAGGAGTTATAAAAGCTTTATGGCAATATCGGATTACTAGATTTTCAACGTGATAAAGAACCTTGATTAGTCAGGAATGTAATTTTCTCTGAAATAGCCAAAACACAATTTCTCAAATAAATATCTAAAAAATAAACATTATAATAATGTACCTTTTTTTTTTTTTTTTAAAGTTGCAGCAATAGAAAAATCTGCTGATAAAGACTTCATTTTTCCATACTTGCATATATATAATAATAATAATAATAATAATATAATCCACAGTAAGTTTATTACATAAATTAATCTTTACATAATAATAAAAGTAGTGGTAACAGACAGTGCTCATCCGCTGTCATAATTATACAAAATAAAAAAATGTCATTACAAAAGCATTAGTGTTAGTATGGTATGATATTCATTTTGAAATATTTATGATGGGAAGGTGCCCTTACGATACATGACACCTTATACAAAGCTGTGTTCTTTTCTCTGTCTTTTTGACTGCATTTTCAAATTTTAGGGTTTAATTTTCTTCCTCTGATTGGAGCCTCTGGAGTGAGAGAGTAGAGCACTACTGGGTGTCTTTGTTTGGCTTTTAGCAGCGGTGGAGCCCGTGTCGAGTTGGAGAGTTTGAAGGTGAAGATGCAGGGACGAGGGGGAGGCGGGGGACACACGATCCTCTGACCCGGCTGACTCCAGACCACTTTCCCCTCGCTGTGCATCCTTCTCTCTGTTGCCGTATCCCAGCCGCGCTGCACTGCTGCTCTGCCTGTGGCACAAAGGAGAAATAAGGCCACACCACAAACGCAGCGAGGTGATTAATCATTTATAGTAATGTAGGGATAATGCTCACTGTGTTCAAAGGAAAAACATTTAAACTAATATAACTTACCTCTTCTGCATTTGTGTAAGGGGATGATGTTGCTTTTCTAATGATGGGCCTGATGGAGGGAGGACACGTGTCTGCTGAGCTGAGGCTTCCTGTTCAGGAAAAGGCACAGTTTTAATGTCATTTTCTAAATCCAAAAAACAGCTGAATTTTCGTTTTTTTATTCAAGTTTGTTCATGTGTTACACATCAATTCACATGTTTTCATCAGTCTTACCCCGGTGGCGTTATGTTGCGCTCTTTCTCTCAGTTTCACCAGGCTGGTGTACAGGCTCAGGTTCTCCTGCTCCAGAAGGTTTATACGAATATTATTTGCCTGCAATTGTTGCTCCATATCCAAAAGCACATTTCCTGTACCTGGAAAATATGAAGTGAACAAGTTTATACTTACAACATGATTCATCAACTCACCAAAAAAAGAAGCAAATGGAAACAATGACTGGATACAAGAATACTATGCATGCTAACGAAACAGAAGCTAGTAGGTGCGCTTCAGGAGTGTACACAGCCCTGAGCTCGTTTTATACATACAATGAGTATGAGGTAAGGCCAATAGGTGTGATTTGTGCAAGACGTTCATAATTATGGAGAAGTAATGCAAATAATTGCCTACTCTGTGGTTGGGCTGTAGGGTTGAGCTCTGGGAAAGCGACTAACAGCCTCTCTCTTTCCCTTAAAGCTCGCACGTATTCCTTCAGCTCAGCCACACTGTTCTTCAGCTCGCCTGCGTGTGTTTCCTGCGTCTGCTTCTCCCTTCTGAGCTCCGAACACAGGTCCTGTTGGAAAGAACATCCCAGCGTGAGGCACTATAGCTTTATAAAGTCTTCAATATGTAATGCTTGATAATGCTGCACTATAGATATCAAATATACCTGCTGCTGAGTGAGCTGACCCTGCATTTGTTCCTTCTCCTCGGACATCTGTAGCAGCTGATTGTGAAGGACGATCTGTCTCTCCTCCCTCTCTCCCACCTGCCCCTGCAGCTCTTCACACTCTTCATCGAGAGCGTTCACTCTCTCCAGCAAAGACTTCTGCTTTGCCTGCATTGACTAGACGCAACAACACAAAACTATCCTTTATAAATCTATACAAACCATGTAATGCTCTCCAGCCTAAATAACAAATCATATTGTGTCAGTGATGATGACACTGACCTCTTGCTGGCGACAAGCGCTTTGGTACTTGGCGTTCTCCTTGTCAAGGCGGAGTTGAGTTTCACAGATTTGACTCTCTAACTCCTGGATCCTTTGCTGGAGTTTACCACAGGCCTCTTGCTCTATGTGCAAAGCCCTCACTTTCTCCTGCAGGCCATTATTTTCAAACTCTACCTCATGAGAAAACGATCCATCATACAGCATTTCAGGTTATTTAATATGTGTCAGACAAGTGCAATTGATACAATATGCAAAATGTTAATATTATATCCTTACCAAGTGTCTGTAATGCATCTTGCTGCAGTGCTTCTTTCTCTTTCAGTCTGGAATGACTTTCCTCCATGCTCAAGGTTTCTGGTAAAAAAATATTAAACATAAAGTCCTCAATGTGATATTTTGAAAACCTCTATGTTTATTTTTGACTAATCCGCACCTCTCTTGAGTTGTCGTTGCTCCTCTTGTAGCCTTTGCTCTGTTTCTTTGACACATCTCTGTGCTTTACTCAGTGAAAACTCCAGCTGGACTATGTTGGCTTGGTGTTTTTCCATCTCTTGCTTGAACGTTTTCTGTTTTCTTTCCAGCTGAGACTTAAATATATCCCGCTCTGCCTCTGCTGCCGCTAGTCTTTCTTTCAGAGGCTGCACAGTACTCCGCACTTCTTGAAGATGTTTCATCAGCCGCCGCATGTCTCTGAGCTGCTCATTGGCCCACTGGGCAACATCGCCTGCTGTCATATGTCCCAGCTCCAGAGTGTCCTCCACAGCGACTAAGAGCGGCTGCAGAGAGGAGGGCAGGCTCTCAGTCTGAAGCAGTTCCACAAAAGCATGTCCCGTTTTGATTAAAGTGGATTGCACTTGGTGGCATGCATTGCAGGGAACAAGGGATGATTCAACAGTCTGGGAGCTCACATGGTGGCTGTCAACCTTATGATAGCATGGGGTGTTGTGGGTAGAACTTGAGGGTGCATGGCTCTGTGGCAAAAACTTAAAGGAGCTTGATGAAGACCAGGGAGATAAGTAATCTCTACTTTGGCTCATTTGGGGGGAGACCAATGACACTGTCTCTGTCCCATCACAGTCAAGTGTCTTTACTTTGCTCTGCTTTTTTGTGTCTTTGTAACTCTCCTAATAGAAGGAAAAAAACATAATACATAATGAGATTTCTAAGTAGATATTTTGCCATACTTTTTCTTGTTGTATCTTTAAAAATAAATAATTTGCATACCTTAAGATTGGCAAATTGAACTAAATTACTCCAATAGTTTCTGACAACAAGGCCAACTGACAGGCAGCCTTTCTGCTGGGTTTGGTCTCTCCTGTGGCTGCACCTTATTTTCTCAACATATGCATTAAGGCTTTGTAGAAGAAGCAGTAGCCTGGTGCAGAGAGATGAGAGAAAAAAGACACGTTCTTTTTTAGTCCTTAAGAAATATTTGTAAATGTGATATGATAACTTGAGTGTGTGATGATCCTGAGTTGGAAAAAGTACTTAGAACTTGAGTAAAAGTATAACTAGTAGAGTGTAGGAATACAAGTAAAGGTCCTGCAATAAAAATGTTCTCCAAGTACAAGTACAAAAGTATTAGCATCAAAATGTACTCAAAGTACAGATAGAAGAAGTACTAATTTTCTCAGATTTGCCCATTGGTTGTAATTAATGATTCATTAAAGTGTTTTCAAAGCTGGTAAAGGTGCTGCTAGTTTTTATCACTTTGTATGCTGCAGTGTAGCTTTGGAATTTTAATTGAGGTATATTTCACATTATTAATCCGGACCTGCAAAGTAACGAAAGGTATGAAATAAGTACAAGATAAAAGTACAAGAAAAAAGTACAAGATTTACCTCTGATTTGTAGTGGGGCAGAAGTAAAAAGTAGCATAATATTGAAATTCTCTAGTAAAGTACAAGTACAAAATTGTGCTTAAGTACGGTACTTGGGTAAATGTACTTAGTTACTTCACAACACTGGTATTACCTGTCAACCAACAGCTCCAGTAACACAATGTGTGAGTGCTGATTGTATGCATCCTCCCCATCCACAAAATCGTATTTCTCCAGCAGAGCTACCATGTCTAGGTTACATGAGAGTTTATCGGGGAATTTCCAGGAAGTGAAGCGAACCGGTCCGGTTCTGGAAAAAACGTCCAATAGAGCACCTTGGAGGTCAACGACGTCTTTCCTCAGGCTTTCAATAGAGTCCTGACGACCCAGAAACTGACTCATGTCTGAAAGGCTAGCTTATATTTCGTGTGTGTGTCTGAAAGCGGCTTGTTGGCATCACATATCCATAGCAACCTGCAAAAGAAGTACTACTAGTCCCATAATGCTTTGCGGCCGGTGTCCGGAAGTAATACGTCTCCGTTGAGTCAACGAAAGCGCTACGAGGTAAGTGCTGAAATATAGCAAATGTAGAGCTGTAGCTTTTATAGCGTGTGTTTGCAGTATAATATCTGGTATAATAAAGGTATTTCCTAGTAAATAAACTATTTTCGTTGGTTGGGTTTCTGCAGGCTACTTCAATTTCCACAAAAGGACATCGCCATGCCGCCTGGGCCTGTACAGATCGTTCAGCCGGAGCCCAACAACAAGGTGAATACACCGCTGCTAGTTGGCTAATGTTAGCATTTAGCTGACGTACTTTTTCTGTAAGGGAAACTAAATACAATTTCCTTCACTGGCAAACGACTACCATACATTTGAATTTCAGGACAGGTAGAGTCTATTTTGGATAATCCCCTCAAGGATTCACTCGGTTTAGCTTGTTGTTAGCTTCCAGGCTCCATTCACAAGAAAGATCCTTCAAAATGTCTGCAAAACTTTTTTATACTTTCAATACAACGGAGGAGCAGCATACTTAAGTTTGTTTAGTAATTATATTGATATTTTGTCGTTTAAAAATCTGCTACTTTACTCTCAAGGAACACCGATGTGTTTAACGTTACCTAAGATAATTTGGGGACAGTCCCCCGTTTGTATTGGCCTGTTTTTGTAATATACGTTAAAAACCCATAGCAAGGTGAAATAAAACGTTTTATGTCAGGAAACACTTGGTAAACAGACTGGTCAAGACGGCCCCTACTTCGGAAAACACATTCAAGCCAGCCCGCACGTTGTATTGGGGTGCGCGAATATCCTATGCATTACGGTAGAGGCCTGTAAAAACTGCCTTCAAAATAAAAGCGTTTACTCGGTCAATAACAAATAAAAAACACCAAACATATTCTTATATACTGGAGCTTAAATTAAGAAATATGTACTATATAATGTGCTCAATAATAATTTAAAACAAACAGTTATGAAGAGATATCTGACATTTCCACTGGGTGACTATTTAAAATGTATGATGTTTAAAATCTCAAATTAGACCTATTGTCGATCTATATTTTGATTATTATTTAATGGAAAGCGTCCATAATTAAAGAGTCATTCGAAGTCACTCAAATACTCATTTCACTCCAGGGTGATAGCAGGACACCCCATCTAGTCACTCAGAGAGAATCAGGACAATCTGATGTACAGTATCAAAATAAAAGACCTTTAAAGTCTCATATATGAGCTATCGTCCTGCTGTTTGTATCCAACAGTTCAAATGTTCGAATTACATTGAACCAGAATTGTCCCCCTTTTTTATTTAAGAGCAAAGAAAATTGGACATGTTAATGATATATTGACCGCAAAACTCAAAATGTCCCCGGTTTTAATTTTGTAAATCTGGTTACCTTACGTTATAACTTTTTACAATAAGTCGACAGCGAAATCTATGAATTATCATTGCATACTCGGATATTATTTATTGGAAAGGTTTAGAAAGAGACTGTGCTACAAGGTCCATTCTCCTATCTCTATTTTGAGTTTGGAGTGGTAGCATTATTATCATGTAGCTCAAAACACCTCTAAATAAAACTAAACCCATATGCATGGCGTTTTATCAAGTTGTATGGGGGTTATTATTGCTATTTGGAAAACACAGACATTTTAAATCAGTTGAATCTTGTGTCAGAATTCCTTTATTCGTCCCACAAAGGGGACATTTCCATTGGTAGTTAGTCAGGTTTAATTAATGTAGATGTGATTTGTATTTTTACATTTGTTTTGCATTTGTTGCACTTTTCAGCCTAACATGTACCCTTTGCCAACAGAATGATGCACCAGTAGAAGAAACCCCTGCTACGAAACCCATTGTTGGGATCATTTATCCACCTCCTGAGGTCCGAAACATAGTTGACAAGACAGCCAGCTTTGTGGCCAGGTTGGTAACTCGTGTATAATGGAATTTTTTGTACAGCTGCAAATCTTACCTGGATACAAGGTCCTATGATTCACAAATTCTTTGTCATTTCACAGAAATGGGCCAGAGTTCGAAGCAAGAATCCGTCAGAATGAGATCAACAATCCAAAGTTTAATTTCCTCAACCCTAACGACCCCTACCATGCCTACTATCGTCACAAGGTCAATGAATTCAAGGAGGGTAGAGGGCAGGAACCGTCTGCAGCCGTGCCTAAAGTCATGCAGCAGGCCATGCTGCAGGCTCAGCTTCCACAAAAAGTAAGACATTTCAGTCTGCTCTTCTTTTTATTTTCTAATGATTGGTATTATTTTCATCTTGACAATTAATACTTTCCATTTGTCAAAAGGCGGTGATTCAAGAGACAGTTGTCCCCAAAGAACCACCCCCTGAGTATGAGTTCATCGCAGATCCCCCCTCAATCTCAGCGTTTGATCTGGATGTTGTCAAGCTTACTGCCCAGTTTGTCGCTCGCAACGGCCGCCAGTTTCTTACCCAGCTCATGCAGAAAGAACAGAGGAACTACCAGTTTGACTTTCTGCGACCACAGCACAGCCTTTTCAACTACTTCACCAAACTGGTTGAACAGTACACTAAGGTAAACCAACAACTTTCTCCTCTAAGTTGTTCTTCATTTTTGTTTTGGTGGTGATGCTAATCTGTATCTCAATCTTTTCCCGCATCGTGTAGATTCTGATCCCTCCCAAAGGCCTTCTGACCAAGCTGAAGAGAGAGTCTGAGAATCCAAGAGAGGTTATGGATCAGGTAATGCCCTTAAACTGTGGATGTTTTTCAGATGAAGAATTTAATCAAATGTCGCCCATGTTAATCCGCTGTCTTTTTTTTTACAACCATCAGGTGAGGTACCGTGTTGAATGGGCAAAGTTCCAGGAGCGCGAGAGAAAGAAGGAGGAGGAGGAAAGAGAGAAAGAGCGGGTGGCATATGCCCAAATCGACTGGCATGACTTTGTAGTGGTTGAGACGGTGGATTTCCAGCCCAACGAACAAGGTAATATAACGACAATTATTATAATCTTTAAACCTGTGAGCCTCATGATGTAGCTCGAATCATTTATCATTAATTGGCATCTCTTTTCTTTTTTTTCAGGCCACTTCCCCCCGCCCACCACACCAGAGGAGCTTGGCGCTCGCATCCTGATCCAAGAGCGCTACGAGAAGTATGGAGAGAGCGAGGAGGTGGAGATGGAGGTTGAGAGTGAGGATGAAGATGATGAAAGGGAGAGTCGGGCCCCGGGTCAGCCCTCACAACCTGATCAAGACACACAGCTGCAGGATATGGATGAGGTAAGAACTGATTAAGTTATTTATCACTGCGCCTTGTATACTATTTATCTTTTTCTAATTGCAGCTGCTCTCATGGATTTGTCCTTAAACTTATTTAAGTACATTTGTGATTTTCATCCAAATCCTTTCAGACCCTCAAATGTAGACATTTCTTGATTTTTTTTCTTCTTCTCAGTTTTAATATCTTAAAAAGTGAATACATTTGGGTTTTGGACTTACAAAGCAAGATATTTAAAGACATCATCTTGGATAAAAGGAAAAGTTACTTACAGCCAAGGCTGGTTCTTTGCCCCCTTTTGGTTTTACCAATCACCCTTTATTGACAACCTATGTTTTCTTACCTCTGCTTGAAAAGAGAACATAATAACAATAAGTGCTGGTAACAATGTTTCATTCTCCCATTCCTGCTCTCTCCAGGGATCTGATGATGACGATGATAAAGCTCCACTGCCACCAGATAACCCCATGCCACCGCCTCTGCCCCCAACTCCAGACCAGGTTATCATCAGGAAAGACTACGATCCCAAAGGTAACGGATGCTTCCTTAGATGAAGGAATACTAAGTGCAAGCCATTTTCTCTGTGCAGTGTGTTTATCTCATGCTATATTTTCCTTACAGCTTCCAAGCCTCCGCCCTCCATTGTTACTCCAGATGAGTACCTCATCTCACCAATTACTGGTGAGAAGATCCAAGCCAGTAAAATGCAAGAGCACATGCGCATTGGTCTGCTTGATCCGCGCTGGCTGGAGCAAAGAGACCGCAGCATCAGAGAAAGGCAGACTGAAGACGAAGTCTATGCCCCTGGTTTGGATATCGAGAGCAGCTTGAAACAACTGGCTGAGAGGCGTACAGATATCTTCGGTGTGGAAGAGACGGCCATCGGTAAGAAGATTGGTGAAGAAGAGATCCAGAAGCCCGAAGAGAAGGTGAGTTAAGTTGTGGGTTTATACTACAGTGTAAGGTCAAAATCATTCCTGAGTTGAATCAAAAATGTTTTTGATCTTTTCATGTTACAAGGTTACTTGGGATGGCCACTCTGGAAGCATGGCTCGTACCCAGCAGGCAGCTCAGGCCAACATCACCCTGCAGGAGCAGATTGAAGCCATTCACAAGGCCAAAGGGCTGGTGGGAGAGGACGACTCTAAGGAGAAAATTGGCCCAAGCAAGCCCAGTGATATTCATCATCATCATCATCAGCCTCCAATGCCCCAAATGAATATGCCGAGACCCCCAATGTCAATGGCTCGCCCACCCCACTCGGTGAGTAACTTAAAAAAACGGTGAATTGTTAATGAAAATAAATGATTCAAATAAAAATAACCCACTAATTTGTTGTTTCCAAACAGATGCCAGTGCGCACCACTCTCCTGTCTGCTGTTCCTGTAATGCAGAGACCTATGGCTCCTGTGGTCCGCCTTGCATCTGGACAAGTCATCTCCTCAATGCCTCCCATGATTCCTGCTCCCCGCCTCAATGTGGTCCCCATGCCTCCATCACCTCACATGATGGTCCCGAGACCACCCCACATGGTGGTTCCAACCGGTAAGATGAAGACACGTAAATAAATAACTAACAACCTAAATAAATATTCCTTGTTGAAGTAATTAGATTAACCTTTCTCACATAGGACACTGGATTTTATCAATTGAATACAAATACACTTTTTCTTCCAGCATTCGTCCCGGCCCCTCCAGTACCACAACCCCCGAGCTCTGGTCCTGCACAGTCATCCCACCCACTCCCACCTCATGATGATGAACCAGCCAACAAGAAGATGAAGACAGAGGACAACCTTATGCCAGAGGAGGAGTTCCTTCGTAGAAATAAGGTTTGTGAGAGCACCGACATGTTGTTGATCTATTTGTATTCATCGATCTGCAGGAAGACACAGTTTGAAATACAGGATTCAAACTGTTATTAGATTTAAATGTATTGGCAGGTCTTCAAAATATACAAACCAACAATCAGATCAAAGTTCTGAGTTGTTCTGGGTTTTTTTTATGGGTAATGTTTCGGAATGCAAAGTATAGATTTCCCATGTATGTTTTCAATTGTGATGACTGAGAAAGGCACAGTGTTTCATTTCATAACTTGATTTATTTTGTATTCCTCTCTAGGGTCCTGTTGCAGTTAAAGTACAGGTCCCCAACATGCAGGACAAGACCGAATGGAAGCTAAATGGCCAAGTGCTGAATTTCACTGTCCCGCTCACAGATCAGGTATGCAAATCTTGCCTTATTGTTATTGTCTTTTTTTAATTGAGTGTAAAGCATTGCACTGTACTGCATTTTTATGCATCTCAAATGTCTCCGCAGGTATCTGTTATTAAAGTCAAAATCCACGAAGCTACAGGCATGGCAGCAGGGAAACAGAAGTTACAGTATGAGGTATGCTTAACCGTAAACCTTCATTTTTACCTTTTTAACCAGCTGATAATATTCTTTGTACTAATATTTGATATTGTTTTGTTCCTTTTTCAGGGCATGTTCATTAAGGATTCCAATTCCCTGGCTTATTACAACATGAACAACGGTTCAGTGATTCACTTGGCACTGAAGGAGAGAGGTGGAAGAAAGAAGTGAGCCATGCTGCAAGAAGGAAACTATTTTTCTTCTGGATGTTTTGTCCCTTGATCGTGCGATGTCATTTTAGTTTATTAAAAATGGTCACAATTATAAAGTGCTTTTCTTAGTTTTGTTTCGAAAAGTATGATGTTTTTGTTATTTTATGTCATTTTGGAATGCTAACTGAATTATGCTGTACACTGGCTGGCAGGCCTTGCATACTATTGGTTCAACTCTTGATTTTTTTCCTGATATATGCTATTTAGTAACTTCAAATTGTAACATGTTGGAGCCCCATAATACTAAATAAATGAATTTTAAAAATGAAAGGTGTTATCGCTTCATGATTATGTGTAATGTTAACAACTGGCGCATATGGAATTAATCAAGGCCTCTTGCTCTGTACAAGAATTATCAGTTGGTCTTTATTTAGGTGATTGGAAATT